ATTGGTAGTATAGCAAGTCTTATTTATTATTTTTCATTTTCTATATTGATAATATAGAAAATCCTAATTTTCATTTTTGATTTTTCTTTAGTGACAATATAGAAAATCTTGGCCTTCAGTTTTTATTTCTTTATTTTAGTAATATAGAAAACCTCATTTTTGTTCCTCATTTTTCTATATTAATAAGATAGAAAATCTTATTTTTTACTTTTTATTTATCTATATTGATAATATAAGTATCAGTTAATTTTAATCCTTATTGTTCTATATTAATATTATAGAAAATTTTAATTATTATTTCTTATTTTTCTAAATTAGTAATATATATAACAGTTAGTTTTATTGCTTCTTTTTTGCTGTATCAATGACATAGAAAGTCAGATTTTTTATTTATTTTTTCTATATTGATCACATAGATAACAGTTTATTCTATTGCTTTTTTTTCTGTATAAGTTATACATATATAATATTACTTTTTATTGTTCTATATTGATGATATAGAAAATTCTAATTTTGACTTCTTGGTTTCCGATATTGGTAATATAAAAACAGTTTATTTTTTTCTAATCTTTGTATATTGGATATATAGCAAATATTATTTATTCTTTTACTATGTTCATAATATAGAAAATAATGTGTTTTATTTCTAGATTTTCTATATTGAATATTTGGAAAATTTTTATTTTTATTTTTCTGTATAGTTGATATAAGTCGTAAGTTTTATTTCTTTTTTTCTATATTGATGATATAGAAAATTTTAGCTCTGATTTCTTATTTTTCTATATTGGATATAGAAAAAATTTCATACTTAGCTTTTTTTGCTTTTCAGTAATAATAATATGGAAGATCATATTTTTTTATTTTTAATTTTACTATATTAGTAATAAAGAAAATCTTAATTGTTTATTTCCTATTGCTCTTCATTAGTAGTGTAGTGAGTAAATTTCTTAGCATGAGTTGTTATGACTGTTATAGAAATGATTTTATTGTTGAGATGTAACTGTTGGTGTAGTCACCTGTGTATTAGTTTCATTAATTAAGGAGGTCTTGGCTATGTGAAGTTAACTTGAAGTACTTAGGGCATACCAAAAGTTCGTAGAGTGATACCTTAATACCTTATGATAAGCTTTAAGTAACTTTCTTTCTATATAGTATGATAAAGATAAAAATGCTCTATCTTTCTATGCTATTTGATCGTATTTCAACTAATATAATAATATTAAATTATCTATAAAACCTATTTCGGCTGGTTGTGTGCTGGTTGTACTAGATCACAGCGTGTGAGAACGGACTAGTTTTNAGTTTGTTCTATTGCTTATTTTTCTGTATGGGTTATATATGTATAATATTATTTTTAATTTTTCTATATTAATGGTATAGATAATGTTATTTTTTTTCTTATTTTCTATACTGGTTATAGAGAAAATTCCATGCTTAGTTTTTTTAATTTTTCGGTAATAATAATATGGAACAACATATTTTTAATTTTTTAATTTTACTATATTAGTAATATAGAGAATCTTAATTGTTTATTTCCTATTGCTCTTCATTAGTAGTGTAGTGAGTAACTTTTTTAGCATGAGCTGTTGTAACTGTTATAGAAATGATTTTATTGTCGAGATGTAACTGCTGGTGTAGTCACCTGTGCATTAGTTTCATTAATTAACCAGATTTTGGCTATGTGAAGTTAACTTGAAGCATGATTGCCAGTGGAAACTGGAAAATCACGAATAATGCATATTTCTCAAGAAATCAGTTAATATTTTTCTGCACGATTTTATATAATCATGCAAGTTTTCTACTGTTCGAGCATAGAAGAAACGTGTTGTGAGAATTGACATTGGATTTTTGAGATGACGAGTTTTCATATGATTTTTTTGTATGATCTTGTTTGAACATATATGATTATTGAATAAAATCGGATAGAATCATACAAGGATTCATGGCTCATCTTACTATCTGATTTCTCGACTTGAATTCTTTACAGAAAAGTCAAGTATATATAGTTGAGAATTTAAAGCTATATGGAGTGTATATACATTTTCAATGATGCTGGAATCAAACTCAAAATTAGTCGGCAAGAGATGATTTTTACAGTTTTTAGCGATGGGCTGGCAATTCGTAAGTCCGAAAGAATCCTATTCTTTATAGCATCCACTGTATTTTAAAGCTTTTCGCTGAGATACTGCGAGTCATAGAATGGTACTTCCGAACTGTTTTTATAAGCCTTAAAGAACAAAAGCCATTCGAAAGCGACACAATACTATGAATATATCGAAATTCTAACTCTAATATAGATCATTAAAAAGTCAAATTTTTTCTCTATGACGGTAGAATCAGTATATCGACTATATTTTAAGTGGGCGTGAATCAAATGAAACGTTGAATTCGAATCAAATGGAAAAGTCAGAATTAAATGATAAAAATTATAATTCTACCACATGAAATATGTTGTAATGTATGAAGCAGGCAATTATTGCTTCTAATCCAACCAAAGTCATAACCATCATCATTTTTAACTTACATTTGAAAACATTTTTGGTGACAAAACCACATCTTCAATCTGTCAAACGTTAATCATTTATAAGTATGAAGAGAAAGCTATTTTTCTCCAATCACAATTTCTATGCACTACATTTTCAATTATTTNCATCCACTGTATTTTAAAGCTTTTCGCTGAGATACTGCGAGTCATAGAATGGTACTTCCGAACTGTTTTTATAAGCCTTAAAGAACAAAAGCCATTCGAAAGCGACACAATACTATGAATATATCGAAATTCTAACTCTAATATAGATCATTAAAAAGTCAAACTTTTTCTCTATGACGGTAGAATCAGTATATCGACTATATTTTAAGTGGGCGTGAATCAAATGAAACGTTGAATTCGAATCAAATGGAAAAGTCAGAATTAAATGATAAAAATTATAATTCTACTATATGAAATATGTTGTAATGTATGAAGCAGGCAATTATTGCTTCTAATAGAACCAAAGTCATAACCATCATCATTTTTAACTTACATTTGAAAACATTTTTGGTGACAAAACCACATCTTCAATCTGTCAAACGTTAATCATTTATAAGTATGAAGAGAAAGCTATTTTTCTCCAATCACACTTTCTATGCACTACATTTTCAATTATTTTACATGAATAGCAGTGATAATAACAAGTGTATTTATGATAACTTTGTGACATATTCGATCTGTTTTCGTAAGTTTTTTACTAAAAGATCTTGCAGTTGTTCAGATTTTCTAGAACAACATTTTTAGAAAGATTAATTACTTAAATTTTTACTTCCTATTATGACGCTATTATTTTTAAATAGAATAATTCAGCTTTATATACTGTTAATTAATATAGAAACAGTTATGGCAAAGACAGTGTTCTCTTCATCGATGCTGCTTTCTTTTACATGAAAAATTTATTCATTGTTTATATTATTCATTCACATTCTGTTTAATTGTCCACATTTACAGAAATATCTATGCTCAAATATAATATAGAAAAAGATAGATTGTTACAAACATAGATGAAAACGTAAGACGAACCATCAAAGATGAACCGATGTTCCTGACTCCTCGATATGTTAAATGTATGATGCATTTGATTAAAAATAATATTTTCGTTTTTTATCAATCCAATTGTTGCTTCAATATCTATATTGTCTTGAAAGAGAGACCAGTAATATACACGAAGAGAGGTTGTAAAGGTACAATGAAAAGATAGTGACTATAAATGATATTCTGATCTCGAGCAATTCAGACTATTGAGAATTCTCTTTCAAATAAATTATGCGTGTAGTATATTAGTGCAGTACGTCTTTTATCTTATATCTTGCTGATTGAAATGAATAAGACTTCAAGTTTTTTTAAAACTTATTCAGAATGCATTGAGTATCACGTCTTTTAACTAGGTTTTATGTTGACCAGTAGTGTTTAACATATACTGAAACCTCAGACATAAATTATAGCAGTTCACTAATTTAGGCTAATGAACAGCAATACCTCTTGATAGTAGTGTTCAGGAAAAAAATCTATTGCAAAAAGAATTCGTTCCTACATAATTATTGCATGTCATGGAGATATGCATAGATTAATCCGCTAGATATGATTAAGTCGTAAATAAATCCGCTTGAAAAAGAATAGATNTAATTTCTAACAAAAAAATGATGGCAATTTGGAAACGAATAAAAAATTAGATCAACGTTAACTTCTCTATTCCAAATTGCGATCACTGATGTGTTAATTGGCTTAATTTTTGACCGCAATTAGGAAGCTCCGTAATAATGAACTAGTATTTAACTAGACACTTCAGAAATTTGACTTTTAATTTATGATAGGCAAAAGTTGCACTCTTAAACCAAATGATACCGGTATGTCCATAAAACAAAAACATAGGTGAAACAAATTTTTAAAAATATTCATCTGATACTGTTCAAGAATCGTAGATACTGATGATTTCATAATTGCCAAGAAGAATATACAAAGTGAGCTTTAATAATATCCTAGACTCGTATTGACTTTCACCACATGTCGAATTTTATTGTATGATACTATGTTCTTATTTATACTTAATCTCAAACAAAAATCTATCAAAGATTCAAAAAGACACACATAAAATTTTATGTGACTCTAGCGATATTTTTGAAAAACATAACATTTCTTAGTTTTGGTAGTATTCAATATATTATTATTCAATTGTTTCTTTAGTAAGTCTCTGAAATTTAGATATTTTGTTCAGATACTATTCTCTTTTTTGGTTATGTAATTGGTTTACATAATCGAAATTGAAAACTATATTTAACTAACTTTTTTCTGCTTTAAAAACAAAGTCGTTCATTACAAATTCTTCACTTTCATCTCATCTCATTGAATAACACGTTGTATTCTTTAACTTTCCATTGTTTTCCATTTTGTCATTCATTTTATCAAAATTTACCTTCGAATTTAACACACATATTGGTCGACGAATCTTGTAATTTCCGTCACCAATTAATGCACTTGAGCAATGTACACCACAGGACTTAACTGCCTTGTGTTGTAGCCAAAAATTAGACATTAATTGATGTACATGAGGTTCAATTAATTCAAAAAAATTGTCCATTTCTTCCTGTTGACAATTCTTCGGTAAAGCCACCTCAGGTAATCCCATAAAAAACATAAAATGAATTAATGCAAATGAAAGAACAACACGTGTAAAAAGAAGAAAGTTTAATTTGGAATCACCACCATGTTTTTGCATATGTTGAAGATTGTATGACAGAAGAAAACCTTTAAACGTCACACCTGCACATACTAAGTCAGACATAAATTGTATCAGAATGTTTCGATCAAAAATGTTTTTTCCACCAAAGTACAAAAATTTGGAATAAGCAAACGATTCGAAAGTAAATACCCGTTCATCATTATGCTGGAAAAAGCTTGGTGTAATTAATGTACTTTTATATTTGTTCTTCTCGGTTCTGGAATGTGTGCATGTCAATGTGTAAACAACAGCAGGCACAATTTGATGATTCTGTAAATATAATGTTACAAGGTGTTCATCAGCCAAATCGTAATCAAGTGTCTTGCCACATGTTGGGCAAATATGTGTAAATGGAGTAAGCTGATATGGTGTGAAATATGGTAGCTTATTTAATAGTGAATATTCCAAAATTAGGTCTTTTGCATTAAGACCTGTTGAAAAATTTGGTAAAACATTAGAACCAAAAAGTGATGAAATTAATTGTAGTTGTTCAGTACCAATATTAATATTTAATTTTTTTTTTAATATATCAGAAAGTAATTCGAATTTTCCAGTTGTATATGGAACTAATGAATTACATAATTCTTGAACAAGACTTACATGTGTAATAGGAAGAAACGTTTTACACATTTCCTGTAAATTGCTAATATGTTGCTCCGTAATTGATGAAAAGTCCGACACGAATTTGTTTGACATATTCATTTTTTTTTTGTCGAATGCTTGCTAAAATTTCTAGAAGATAATAATACATGTCAAAGAGAAGAAATTAATACTTATGTTTAGCATAAGTACTTCACATATCAAAAAAGAACACGTATAAATATAAACATGAAAGATATTTTCAATCAGAGAATCTGGAAAACTATGAGTTTTAAGTGAAGAAGAAAAAAAGAGAGTAAATAGTATGAAAAAAAAAAAAAGAACGTAATCACAAACAAGAGAAGAACAACATGTTTCTTTTTCAATATAGTCATGAATATAGATGAAATTAATTTATGATTGTCGTCCCATAGTTTAAAACAAAGTTTCAATAATCACAACAAAAGTCGATTTTTAATCGACAATAATCATACGATTTTCTAATAAAAAAAAAAAAAATTATGCAGTATAATCACAAAAAAATCATTTCTAAATCGCTTATTACGATCAACTACGATTATAATCAATTTTTAGTTGATTTAAAAGATTATTACAATCGACATCAACCGAAACAATTGATTTGGGGATGATTTTTTTGTTAATTTTTTTTTTTGCTTAGATTTTTTTTTTTTTGAAATTGTTTGACTAGAATCAATTATTTTGTAATTATTGAAAAAAGCTACATTATTTTTCTTCAATCACACAAGATCTATTTACTGCAGCTTGTTTATTTCTTGCAGCTACTAAATCTTTTGGACGAGGTAATCGATAACCAGTAACAGCTTCAGATTTATCAGTAGAAACTTCATCAATAATACTTGTTGTCGAATTGGTAGCTGTTGTAAAAGGATTTGATTGTAAAATATCTTGAAGATTTGATGTTGAATGTTGAAGTGAGCTAATTCGTTCATCAGTTGTAGGATCTATAAAAAAGAAAATGTTGATAGTTATGGAAAAGCTTTTGAATAGTTTTGACTTTAATAACCGTGAGAAACTGGGATCGAGTTAGCAAAAAAAAACTACTATTTTAAATAGGCACCCATATATATATATTGATATAAAAAGCATTAATTATTCACATAGTAACATATTATTGTAGAACATGAAAATCGAAATGATAAACCATAAGAAAATTCTATGTTCTTTTTAAAACTTTGATTTTGACTTGCTGTCAGTTTCCTGTTTATCATGGTTCAAAAAATATGATTATATGAAGCTTTTTTATCTAATTTTCCTTAAAATTTTCATGTAGGAATATTTTTTTTTCGTCTGCTTTACTACTTGAAAAACAGATGATCTCTCTTAATAAAACCATACCTGTCAAAATGCTAATTGCATTACGATCATGATGATTGTTGTTGTTGTTGTTCTGTTCATCTGTATCTTGAGTAGATGTATCATCATTTGGCATTCCGGTTAAAACATCAATATTAAATTTTATAAACGATTTGTAATGTTCAGCTTTCAACCGATTAGCTAGATCAGTACTAATAACAATGCCTACAGGAGGCTGAAAGTGCCACAACGTTCGTTGAAATATATCCCAATCAATATTAAATTCGGCAAGTGATTGTTGAAATTCTTCTAAATCCGTCAAATCAAACGATTTAGGTACACATTTAAGCCACATATTAAACGTTCTTCGTGTTAATATTTGTTTTGCTGCTTTTTCAACAGTGATAATCAATTTTTTTTTTATTAGAAGTTCAATCGCATCTTGACGATGGTTGCTTTTTCGTTTCCATAATGGAACACAATTACTGAGTTTTGTTCTTGTGAATGCAATTTCATCATGTAATAAAATGGCTCTGGCCAAATCTTTAATTGATTGTTCATTTGTTTCTTGTTGATTTTTTATCGTGGTTGCTGTTGTTTTCTCATTCAGATTAACTGTGATAGTTTCAATCATTTGAAGATCATCTGTATTTCTAAACCAAAACAAAACGGTTAATATCATGTATAGCTGTTCTTTTTGATAACTAATTCATATGAAATAACATCTACAGTACGTTCACCTTATTTGAAACAAAGTTATAAAAATCTTTTATTTCTCTACAATGTGTAACAATAATTAGCTAATTGCAGTTTATAGTTGTGTGTCATTTTGAATAAATAAAATGAAGTCAAAAGATTCTTAACTCTTTAAAAATACACAATCAACGAAAAAACAACGTTCTTGAATAATAAAATATTAATTCAATTGGTAGAATTCTCATGAGTTTAAATAAATAAAAGATAAAGTCTTTCAGAAAAACAAATGTAAATAGTATGTGCAGTTTAGATTAGAACTAGTTACTTATCTCAAATGTTTAAGTTTTAAAAGACAATTATAAACATTTTTCGTTAAGTATTTCACAAATAATCTATGTACTTAGAATGTCGTTTATGAAATAATATGGTTTCTATGAGAAAATATATCTGTATAGTAACTTCTATAATTTCAAAAGTTCACTTATCGAATATCTCAGATTAAAATGTATGAATTCCACAGTTCTCCATTCGATTTGAGATTCTTACTTTATCAGAATATAGTTTTTAAAACTTTCATTTGTCAAATTTCATTACATTTCTCATCAGTTTATTCTTCATTGTTATTAAAACTCTAAGTGTTATCATTTTAACTTACAGAGCTGTATTATCGCCACCAAAGATACACAAATATTGATGTAATAATAAATTTAATAATTTAACAGCTGCATTTGCAATTGATAAACGAATTTCCAGCTTAATACTGATTTTATTACTTGTTCGACCAAGAAACGTATTTACTATTTGTTTCATTCGTTGTTGAAAAACAATATTATCAGATTGAATATTGAAACTTCCAAAATCAGTTTTGTATTGATCGAGTAAATCAAATGTTAATTGAATAAGTTGAAGATTCACTGCCAATCGATGAAGATGATCACGAGATTTTCCAAGACGTGCAGTTAACCATTTATCACGTTTCTCATTTTTTATCACTAAAAAAAGAAGAGAGAAAAAAATCAAAATTAATAAACTATGTATAAACAATTCCAGTAAATGTGGAATTAGCACTAGCTTTCAACAGATTTGGAAGCAACCCTAAAACCATTACATTTATGTTAAAGGGTTGCAATTTACGCCTACCTTCCGAAAAAATTTAATTGTAATTTAGCTCTTACCAAAAAAAAAAACAATGGTTGAAATTTTTGAAAAAAAATTTTATTTAATTCCATTCTTGCTTCCTGTTGAACTATGCTAATCATTATTAGTTTTTCTTGCATAGAAAAATTTTGACTTCTTTAAAGCTACTTATACTTAGTACTATTAAAATTTGATAGTTATTAATGATTTATCAGCATACTATGAGATACTTAGGTCTGACCAAAAGTTCTGGAAACATGAAATAAAAATATGAAGAGAAGAAGGTATCTTTAATTTTATTTTATCAAATGTTCAGGATAGTTTCCATGATTATTTATACCAAGTTCGATCCTTTCTAACAATTTGCTAAAAGTTGTTTTGAAACTTTTTTCGAAAAATAATTTAAGTACCTTGGATACCACGTTAGCTGATCTTGTTTTATTTAATTAATTATTTAAACTATATTTGATATAACTAGTTAGCAAAAAATTACACAGTACCAGGCCCGGAAAATATGCTGGATATGATAGTATATTGAGGCCTTCTTCTGTCATGCAATTAATAACATTGGATGAGTATGAAGTCAACGATGACCGTCAAGCGATTTCGTACATTTTGAACCTGATGCCTCTGTTCGTTTCCATATTTCATTAATAAAAAGGCTTTCGAGAAATTTCAATGTAATACTTGGGACTTACAGTCTTGCCTTTATCTAAACTCAGGAGTATTTGATTTAAATAATGTACCAAACAAAGTATTGATTAAAATCTGTATTCATAAACAGTAGTCTGACGATTCTTCTTCAATGAGCCAGCCAGCATCGAACAACTTATGAGTAACCTATCTAAAATAAATTCATATCTCGTTACTCGTAGTACCAGAATGCAGTTGACATGACTGAACAAAATTTTTCTAATTTTTCACAACAAATAAAATATGATTAGCTGATGTGGTATCCAAGGTACTTAAATTTTTTTTTTCGAGAAAAACTTCAAAACAACTTTTAACAAATTGTTAGAAAGGATCGAAATTGGTATAAATAATCATGGAAACTATCCTCAACATTTGATAAAATAAAATTAAAGATATCTTCTTATCTTCATATTTTTATTTAATGTTTCCAGAACTTTTGGTCAGACCTAAGTATAATCAGTTTTATTAAATAAAACGCTGAAAATTCTGATAACTTGAGCAATTTTTTGAGTTTTTTCGCTAATGAAAAATGATATCAAACTTTCGTTTAATAACTTACTTAATTTAGATAATAAATTTCCATGAGCAACAGTCATAAAACGAGCAGATGTCCCATAATAAAACTTTAAATTCATAAGCAGACTGGATGTAAACATAATTTGATCGACTGTAGGTTCATTTTCATCATCCCAAGCAAGTGGAAAAGGACGCTCAAGTGTTAGTTGTGTCGAAACAAAAAGAAAAAGAGAACGTTCAGCAAATGGATTTGGAAGTTCACCACTGAATTTTTTTTTCATTAGTCGTAAAATTGGTTCTTCGGTTGTATTAGCTAATATGTTTAGCTTGTGGAGAAAAAGACTTGTTGTTGAATTAGTTAAGCTTTTTATTACTGTTGCCTTACCAGAATATAACGTTAAAATTATTTCATATACATTATTATGTTCACGTATGGGTCCTTCAATAATAAGACCATTTCTTTTCAGAAAGCTGTCTGCCTCATCTAATAAAACAACTTTATCATTTTCACTGAGTTGTTTTAATAGACCACCTCTTGACATCTATGAAAAATAGAGTAGATTTATTAGATATAAATTAATAAAGTCATTATTGTATGCTATTGATAAATATTCATATCACCTATGAAACTTACAAAGTCAATAGATTTTAAGAAGTTTCTCTGAACAAAGAGAAAAGAGAAGAAAATTGAATTTTCTGAATCTATATTTCATAAAAGTTTGATTTGCATAGTCTTAAATATTTTTACTCCTAAGACTTTTGGACATATAAATAATTATCAAGCATTTCCCAAAAGTTTTTATAGCGTTCTTTTCAAAACATACACACTATTCTACAGATTATCAATAACTAAAATCGACCATCATTTGTTCATACGCATTTTTAAGATTATAATAAATACTATTTACCTCATCGAGAAAATGTCGTGTATCAATATTATTCGTTGATGATGCTCGAATATCGAATGTTGCATCACCATTGCTTACTTCATCAGATATACGGCATTTACCAATTGCGCTCAAAAACAGTTGATAAAATGCACTTTTTCCAAATGCTAATGAGAATCAACAGCATGAATATAAGTCGAAACTGCTTTAAAATACACTAACCTGAACCACATACAAGAAAAGCATATAGATTATTTGGAATCGGTTCTCGATTATTTCGATAGACATATATTTCAGAACAAATATGAGCAGTAGTTCCAATTAAATACCATGACATTGCAGCTTGATCTAACAAGCGCACATCCATCTGATGATTTAACCACCTTGTTATTCTATCACTAAATATTTTTTCTGGATGAAAAGCAAAGCTCTTCTCTATTTCTGAAAACCGACGATTGTACATATGAGTTAATTTAGATTGATTATTTGAATAAGATGATGATGCTTTTGAATATGAAGAACAAACATTTTGCATTATTTACTTCTTCGAAGATAAAAAATTTGCCGTTAGAATAAGTAAAAATCTTAAAATAAAGAAAAAATTTCAGTAATAAACAAAAATACAATGTACTTCCATATGACTTTTGTTTATCAACAGCATAATCATAAAACTTCACATATATATTTTTTCGCAACATAGAATATCAAATTAAAAATACTAATGAATATCGTCAACAGTATATATCAATCATCTAATGGATAATGATCTGTAAATAACAAGAAAACTAGTCTAAACTAGAAATAAGTCGTCCATTTCGATTAGCAATATAGACTAAAATATATTCATCTAACATACTGTCTTGTATGCGATGTGACTATTGTACGTATACAAAGACAAACAGACAGGCATAACAATTAATTGCGATAGTTCTTTATAAGTCCATTTCGCCAATATTAAAATGTATCATCTAGCCAAGTCATTATACTTCATTGAGAAAAAAAGTTATTAAAGTAATAAAATGTCTTCCACAGAATGTAAACTAATTCTAAAATTTGAAGATGTCGTCAGTGTACAATTAAAATTCTATGATTGAACTGGACCGATACTTTCGAGATCATTTATCCATTTAATCAAAACCTTCTATTACATGCTTCGATGCTTCTCTCTTCATTCATTTCATCTTTTAAAATTAAACTTCCGAAATTTTAAGCAGAAATTCCACTTGAGTTTCTTCACTCTGATCAAGGACTGACTCAGTAACATAAGATATGCACGAAGATTTATTCTTGATTTTTTTTGAATTTTTAATCAATCCAGAAGAACGTATTACATAAAGGAAATGATGCTATCAAATTTTCATAGCACCAGATAACTAAAGCACCAAACTTCTTTTTTGTCACAAACTTCTAATAAGTGTCAAGTTTTTCTCTTGTTTGACATCGACCATAAAAAATCTCTTGAAAGTTATAAATTCTTTTCACTTTTGAAAATCTCTGAACAAATTCATTTCCATGCATCAAAATATGTTTGAATTTTCTATTCTTAACATCAATCGTAGTAGAAATTATCCATCCGTATGCTTCTAAAAAAAAACTCTTCCCATATTCTTATAAGGTATAGATATTTCTAGTCTTCTTGATTCATACGATTCTATTGAATTATCAGAATAATTATAATTTGATTGTTTTGCTAGAATCCCTAGATTTTCATTAAGATCTATAGAAGAATAAACTTTCTCTTACTGCTTTTTCTCAGTTGAGCTCTACCAGTTTTATAAAATATCCAACTTCTGGATCGTGGGTATTGCTGAAAACTTAGTAGACTTGTTTCGCATGAGTCTATAATTTGAGACTTTTCTGTCCTATTCTCTTTCAGAAAATATGTTAAAATACAGTTCATTATTGACCACATAAAATAGAAGCCATGATATAGAATCAACTTCTTTTACACTTTCATTTAATGTAATATAAGGGAAGAACTACTGTCTATGTACAATAATGCTGAACATGCACATGTTCTAATCCTGATTATTAATTATATCAATGAATTCGGATGGCATGTGCTTTTTATTAGTGCATGTTTGATCATTGCATGTAGTTCCCTGTCAAAAGTTTTGCTTACACATAGAAGATGTCCACAAATAAATCATTATTATTGGTGCTTGCATGTCTTAATAGGTTGTGGAACAAATCTATATTCTGGCCAACACCATTCGCCAATTTAAAGTTAGTCTACTTTAAATTAGTACGAAATATGGATTGTATTCTACGTGCCACTATTTTTTTGGGATTTATTGGAACTTTTTAATAAATTCCGGGATTTATTTCGTTTTGAGTATTATTTAGATCATTAGGAGAGATTTCGGAATTGATTTCTCCATTGAAACTTCTCAGTCAAATGGATAATATATATATCATTAAAACGTCAAATTTTCTCTCTATGACGGTAGACTCAGTATTTCGATTATATTTTAAGCGGACGTAAGTCAAATGAAGCGTGTAATTCGAATCAAATAGAACACTCAGAATTGAATGATAAAATTATAATTCTACTATATGAAATATATTGTAATGTATGAAGCAAGTAATTATTGCTTCTGATCCAAACCAAGTCATGACCATCATCATTTTTAACTTATATTTGATAACATTTCTGTGACAAGGTCACATATTCGATCCATCAAACATTAATCATTTATAAGTATGAAGAGAAAGTTATTTTTCTCGAGTCACACTTTCTATGCACTACATTTTCAATTATTTTAGATGAATAGTAGTGATAATAACAAGCATATTTATGATAACTTTGTAACATATTCGACTTATTTTCTTTAGTTTTTCAATAAAAGATTTTGCAGTGATCTAGATTTTTCAGAAGAACATTTGTAGAAAGATTACTTACTTAAATCTTTACTTGCTACTATGATACTATTATTTTTAAATAGAATAATTCAGCTTTATACACTGTTAATTCATAGAAACAGTTATGAGTATTAAGACAATATTCTCTGCATCTATGCACCTTTCTTTTAGATGAAAAAGTTATTCACTGTGCATATTGTTCGTTCACATTGTGTTTAATTGTCCACATTTACAGAAATATCTATGCTCAAAAATAATATAGAAAAAGATAGATCGTTACAAACATAGATGAAAACATAAGAAAAACCATCAAAGACGAACTGATGTTCCTGACTTCTCGATGTGTGTCTAAATATATAAGGTATTTGATTAAAAATATTTTAGTTTTTTTATCACTCTAATTGTTGCTTCAACATCTATATCGTCTCGAAAGAGAAAGAAGTAATATACGTGAAGAGAGGTCGTAAAGGTACAACGAAGAGATAGTGACTATACATGATACTCAGACTTCGAACAATTCAGACTATTGAGAATTCTCTTTCAAATAAACTATGCATGTAGCATATTAGTGCAGTACGTCTTTTATGTTATATCTTGCTAATTGAAAGGAGTACGACTTCACGGTTTTTTTAAAACTATTCAGAATACATGGAGTAGCACGTGTTTTAGCTAGATTTTATGTTGACCAGTAATATTTAACATATACTGAGACCTCCGACATAAATTAGAGCAGTTCACTAATTTAAGTTCATGCACAGCAATATCTATTGATACTACTGTTCGGGGGAAAGATTTACTGCAAAAAGAATTCGTTTCTACACAACTATTGCATGTCATGGATGTATGAATAGATTAATCCGCTAGAGATGATTAAGTCCTAAATAAATCCGCTTGAAAAAAAATAGATCTGCTGAGGAATTATTTGATATTTAGAGATGTATGTATGTTAAGGTCTTTTTTTTTCCTTTCTTTTCGATCCTATATATATATATATGTATATATATATATGCACGATTTTACGGATGTCCTTGATGTACGTCGACTAACTGTATTACGTAATCGAAAAGACAGTTCTGAATCATGTATATGATATAGATGGGATATATATGAAGAACGACAAAGCAAAGAGACCAATTAAAGAGTCACAGAGATAATAGAGGATAAAAAGAATAGTGAATATGTATACATGCAACATCACTGTAACAATGTAATAAACGTGAGAAAAGTATGATACATACTAAATAGGCCGAGCAAGATAATTATTCAGTAGTATGCGCAAAGACTTTTTATTGGTACTGTAGTATGGGTTATTTTATGACATATTAATCATAAGTGCTAAGCAACAAAAAAAAGAGTGACTGAACAAGGATTCGAACTTTAGATGTATAAATGTGGAAGCCATCGCTCTATGCATTGATCATTCACTGTCGTTAGCTAATAGTGAAAATCTTAGAACGATGATTAGCGTTATCAATCAGTCCAACTGTATAAAGAATATATCGACTGTAGAAAGAATCGATCCGTTATAGGATCAATTCATATTTGAAGTTAAATGCCATAGAACACTGCTGGAGACATATATATCTTCAATGGTATTGATCATTGTCATAGCTATTTAATTCTACCACAGCTATCTAAAGATCTCGTAGCTATTTAAACTTGCTATGGCTATTTAAAGATTTACATAGCTATTTAATTCTTTCATAGTTATCTAAAGATCTTTTCGCTAATTAAAGTTGCCATAGCTATTTAATCTTTCATTTGACTATTTAATCCTATCATAGCTATCTAAAGATTTTGCAACTATTTAAACTTGCCATAGAAAGGAAAAAAACTAAATCATACTTCGCAATTTTGAACAATAAACAAAAGACTGACTATTATACGTTTATTTCTATGAGCACAAAAAAGAATACTTCATTATCAGCAGTAATAGATATTTCCTCAAATATTCATTCTACCTTACTTATTCTTCAGAGCAGGGGTTGTGAGATGGCTGTGAGTTATTTACAAAATGTCATCCTCAAGCTATGTATGCTTGGTTTTCCTAAATATTTATATGATTCTACAACTATGATTTTTTTAAATTTTGTAGAAAAAAAGAGCAAAGGTTTAAAACGTGAAAGTTTGTGAAGTACTGATATACCTCATCAAGTCATGTGAATTTGTTGAAGGCTTAGAAGTGTCTAGAAAATTAGAAGCCCATGTTGGTGAACTCAATAGAAGTCTTTTGAAGTAATCAGATATTGAAATTTGCTTTTATCCGTACTATCAAAAATCTTTATAGATATTTAAAATTTATCAGCAATTTATTTCAAACTGTTGATTTTTTTTGAAACATAGAAAAAACTGAACGAAGTGAATATGATCAGTTTATAGATTGATATATAATCAACTGTATAATTATCAACATTATCAGCAAGTATTCATCCGTAGAATATGCATGTAAAATCTCGTTTATTCGTTATTCTTTTATCTAGATTCGGTTTGTGCACTGGAATATTA